GGCTCCGTCTTTTGGTGGAGACCCCTTGGGGTGAGGGGGGCTCAGACTTCGGTGTTCAGAGGCAGCGGACAGGTGAGGGGGCCTTCTCCCCAGCAGCCCCCTTCCACCGTGCCATCTGCAAAGGAGCCTCCAGATCTGGTTCTGACAGGCTGGTCCCACATCTGTGGGTGTCCTCGGGGGAGGGTGGCTCACCCGGAAAGTCAACCCTTAGCTAATCAGAAGCCAAAGGCCCACACACTTAGGGAGGGGTCAGAGCTTCTGGGTATGTGCCGGGTGGGCATGTGCCCACCAGAACCAAAGCACGGAAAAGGACCTCTATTTCGAACAGCAAAACTAGAAACACCCCACATGTCCACCAGCAGGAGGATGAACAATACACTGTGTATGCATGTCGTGGAATGCTACACGGCAACGGAAAAGCACCCATTACAGCTGCCTGCGATGCTGACTCTCATTAGCATCATACTAAGTAGAAAAATGCAGATGGCCTTCCATATCATATGATTCCATTCACATTGGGTTAAGAGGAAAACAGGCAAAAGCCATCTAATATTTTAGCAACGTGTTGGTAAGTGCTGAGACCCTGGAGAAAAGCAGGGGCTGGGAACCAGAAAGGTCAGAATAGTGGCTCCTCCAACAGAAAGAGAGAGGCCGGGCTGGGGCGTGGGATGGGGGTTCCTGGGATGCCGCTTGTGTAGTGACAAGGCGGGTGCTTGCTTTATCGTCGTTTGTGTTGCGTGCACTTTTCTCTAAGTGTGTAGTATTTTGCAAACTTTAAGAAATAATCTTTAGAAATCATGCTGTACTCCTGGAGGATGCTTCCCAGGCCTGCTGGTGGTCCCCAGGGGTCCCTGCATCCTCAGGGTCCAACTCTGAGCCGCCTCCCCCTATTCATCAAACATCAGCCCTCACCTCCAGGAGGACAGGGACCAGCTTTCTCTTACCCACCGTCTCCCCTCTGTCACACCAGCCCCCCTGGTGGATATGGTCTTAGATGAGGGGCCCCAACAGTGCTGGGCAACAGTGATCATTCACACCCCAGGCTCCATGTGGAGGCTGAGGAAACTGAGACCCAGAGAGGAGAGGGTATTGCCCGAAACTCCTCACCTCCCAACAGTGAGCTGGCATCCAAGACAGACCTCGATCCCTGCAATCTAGATATGTAATAACACCGCATTGTGTTCCCGGGTCTAGAACATTCTGGGTCTGTGCTATCCAATATGGTGGCTGACTCCTGGCCTAGGATACTCCAGGACTGCACTGTTCAGAAGGCTAGTGGGCTTCTAGTCTAGAACATTCTGGGTCTGCACTCTCCAATACAGTAGCTGGCCCCAGTCTAGAACATTCTGGGTCTGTGCTAACACAGTAGCCAACCTCTAATATAGAACATTCTTTTTTTTTTAAATATATTTTATTGATATTTTACAGAGAGGAAGGGAGAGAGATAGAGAGTTAGAAACATCGATGAGAGAGAAACATCGATCAGCTGCCTCCTGCACATCTCCTACTGGGGATGTGCCCGCAACCCAGCTACATGCCCTTGACCGGAATCGAACCTGGGACCTTTCAGTCCGCAGGCCGACGCTCTATCCACTGAGCCAAACCGGTTTCGGCTAATATAGAACATTCTAGATTTGATTTGTCCAATGTGGTAACCACCAGCCACATGTAGTCACTTAAGTTAAAGTTTACATTTATTAAAATTAAATAACATTAAAAATTCAGTTCCTGAGTCATATTTGCCACATTTTCAAGGCTCAATAGCCACATGGACCTAGTGGCTACCATACTGGACAGCACAGACAGGACATGTCCATCATGGGAGAAAGTTCTATTGGATAGCACGCGTCGAGAATGGCGAATTACAGCCTTATCCTGAGCCCCCTGCCTGCTTTTGTAAATAAAGATTTTTGTTTTTTTGTTTTAGTATATTTTATTGATTTTTTTACAGAGAGGAAGGGATAGAGAGTTAGAAACATCGATGAGAGAGAAACATCGATCAGCTGCCTCCTGCACACCCCCTACTGGGGATGTGCCTGAAACCAAGGTACATGCCCTTGACGTTCTATCGGACAGCACGCGTCGAGAATGGCTAATTACAGCCTTATCCTGAGCCCCCTGCCTGCTTTTGTAAATAAAGTTTTATTAGCACATAGCCACGCCCATTCATTTACATGGTGTCTGAGGTGACCCTGGGCTTAGAACATTTTAGAACCATACTGTCCAATAAAATAGCCACCAGCCACATGTGGCTGCGAAGCCCTTGAAATGGGGCTTGTGTGACTGGGGAATGGGATTTTAAAATTTGTTTAATAATAAGTAATAAACTATACTGACTGCCTGTTGAAATAATAAGATTTTAGAGATATTGGGTTAAAATGAAATATAGCATTACAATTCATTTTACCTGTTTCTTTTTCCTTTTTAAACGTTGCTACTGGAAATTTTAAATGCTGCGTGTGGCTTGCATTATATTTCAGTTAGCACTGCTCACCAGCTCTTTTTCCTAACCAGGATTTATCCACCTGGGCACTACTGACTTGGGGCACATCATTCTTTGTTGTGGGCCGTCTTGTGCCCTGCAGGGTATTGAGCAGCATCCTGGCCTCTACCCACAGCATCTTCCAGTCTTGACAATGACAAATGTCCCCAGACATTGCCCAGTGTCCCTTGGGAGCCGAATCGCCCTGGGTGAAAACTCCTCCTAAACTAATGTAAACTCTTCCGTTAGACAACAGAGGCTCTCGTGTGTTCTCAACAACACACCAGGCACGTTCCTGCCTCCGAGTCTTGGTACACTCTGTCCTCACACCACCCCCATCTTCATCTCCATCTGCCACAATCCTCCCATCTCTCAAAACTCAGCCCCAATGCTCCCTCCTCCAAGAAGCCATCCTGTTTGCTGTCTACTGAGTCTGCCATCAGGTCAGCTGTTTCTCCCTGGTGATGCTGCCCCAGGGCGCCCTTCCATCTGGCCGTTTATTTTGTGCTAACCTTCCGTAGCGGGTTGAATGATGGTCCCCCTAAAATACACCCGAGTCCTAACCTCCGGAACCTGGGAATAAAATGAGACCTTAGTTGGCCCTTGCCAGATAGAGCATTGGCCTACGGACTGAAGGGTCCCGGGTCTTCGCCAGATAGAGCGTCGGCCTACGAACTAAAGGGTCCCGGGTTCTATTCCGGTCAAGGGCGCATGCCCGGGTTGCGGGATTGATCCCCAGTAGGGGGCCTGCAGGAGGCAGCTGATCAATGATTCTCTATCATCGTTGATGTTTCTATCTCTCTCTCCCTCTCCCTTCCTCTCTGAAATCAATAAAAATATGTTTTAACATAAAAATAATCATAATAAAATGAGACCTTATTTGGAAAAGGGGTCTTTATGAATGGAATTAAATGACAAATCTAGAGATGAGTTCATCCCGGATGTATGGTCAGCCCTAAGTCTAATGGCAGGTATCCTTATACGAGAAAGGCAGGGGACATTGGAGAGATGCAGACACAGAGGAGAAGGCCCTGTGACCACGGAGGCGGGAATGATTGGAGTAATGAGTCTACAAGCCAAGGAGCTCCTGGCAGCCACCAGAAGCCAGGCGAGTCACAGAAAGGATTCTCCCAGAGGGAGTGCAGCCCTGCTGGCACGATCTAGAGATGAGCTCATCCTGGATGTATGGTCAGCCCTAAGACTAATGGCAGGTATCCTTAAACGAGAAAGGCCGGGGACATTGGAGAGACGCAGACACAGAGGAGAAGGCCCTGTGACCACGGAGGCGGGAATGATTGGAGTAATGAGTCTACAAGCCAAGGAGCTCCTGGCAGCCACCAGAAGCTGGGAGAGTCACAGAAAGGATTCTCCCAGAGGGAGTGCAGCCCTGCTGGCACCTGGGTCTCTGATTTCTGGCCCACAGAACTGTGACACAATATATTTTTGATGCTTTAAGTGCCATGGTTTGTGGTGCTTTGTTAAGCAGCCCCAGGACTCCAGTAGTTGGAAGGAGGGTTTTGAAAATTGAAATCAAACCAGGTCATTCCTCTGCTTGCCACCCTCCCATGGCCCCACTACCCTTGGAATAAAATCCAAACTCCTCACATAGTCCTGTCCCTTCCTCTTCCCCATCCTCCTTCCACCCTCCTCCTCACTCCATGGCTTCACTCTGCTCATCTCCTCGGTGCTCCTCAAAGGCACTGAGTTTGGCCCCGCCTCGAGGCCGCTGTACTGGCTGTGTCCTCTACCATGGATGCCCTTTGGGCAGACAGGCTCCCTCCCTCCCTCAGGCCATCAGGTTGCCTCCTCAGAGAGGCCTTCCCTAACCACCTGGTGTATCTAAAACCCACTGGGCCGGCACACCCCAGACTTCCTGTTCCCAGCATTGATGGATACAGGTGCCCCAAGCAGCTCCTGAGTGCTTTTGATGCTGAAGGGTCTCTGAGAATCCAGAGAGAATGGCAAGCCCCACCCCCAGAGCCACGAATCTCACTGTGGTTCCTTCACTTTGCAGCAGGAGGTGCTGCCTGGAGACCAGGCTCACTTGGCTCAGGGGACCTCTGCCCACCCAAAGAGGACAGGGCTGAAAGAGAGACCTGGCAGGTACAGAGCCTGGGCCAGCCTCCCCTTGGGATGGAAATCCTGCCCAAGAAACCCCCGAATCATGGGGCTGAAGCTCTATTTGCTTCGATGTTCCTTTAACACACTAGGACAGTCCTGCCTCAGGGCCTTTGCACGTGCTGCTCCCGCTGCCTGCTAATGCTTCCTCATCTTCAGGTCTCACACCCTCAACCAGTGCCACCTGCATAACCACACACAACCACTCCGGTGTGACGCTTGGGCCCAGTGTGCAGTAGGCACTCAATAAGTGCTCACTCTGGTGATCATTTCTGTCCCTCTGAACCTTATACCTCTTTCTGAGTCAAGACACTGCTGATCCTAAGAAGGGCCTTGGCCTTCCCCAGGCTGAGAGCCACCCCTCCGTTCTCCCCGCTCCCCAGGCAGCATCCAGACTCACCCCGGGCAAGGTCTTCTGTTCGTGCAGAGCAGTCTGAGCTTTGATGGCAGAGTCCCTGGCACAGTAAGTGAGGAAGGCACAGCCTGGAGGGGAGAGAATGGGGGTGTTAAGAGAAAGGGATGCTGTGCACCCATGTTCGTTCATCGCAGCATCATTCACAACAGTCAACAGGGAGAAACAACCCAAGTGTCCATGGGTAGATAAATGGACAAACAGTGTGGTCCGTCCACACAGTGGAATATCACTCACTCTTTTAAAAGGGAAATGATGACACCTGCTATGACATGGATGGACCTTACGGACATTTTGCTCAGTGAAGTCAGCCAGACACGAACGGGCACATGCTGTATAATTCTACCTGTAAGAAGTCCCCAGGGAGTCCAGTCCATAGAGACAGACAGTAGACCTTGTCAGGGGCTGAGGAGGAGGATGAGGAGTTCATGTGTAGTGGGGACAGAGTTTCAGTTTGGATGAGTCCAAGAGGAGGATGGTGGTGATGGTTGCACAGCAATGTGAATGCACTCAATGCCACTGAGCTATACACTTAAAAATGGTTAAGATGGTGAATTTAGCATTATGTGTATTTTTCTACAGTAAAACACCTGGGGGGGAAGGGAGAAAAACATGAGAAAATGGTAGATTTTATACTATGTGTATTTTACTACAATTAAAAAGAGGACCCGAACCGAAGCCACCGTTTGCGGGGGGAGGGAGGGTGCAGTAGCAGTGGTTCAGCCCCGCCACTTCCCAAAGAGTGAGACAGGGAGGGGGAGAGAGGAGACCCCCGCTGTTGATGGAGTCCGGGGCTGGCAAAGTGCGGTCAGGGCGTGGTGGGGAGAGGACGATGGGGACAGGACCCAGCACTGGGATGAGGAGCAGTGGGCTCTGCCACTGACTCGCTTTGTGGTCTTGGATGGGGCGCTGCCTGGTCTTTGCTCAGTTTTCCCCAAAGAGTATGGTCCGAGAGTGCCTTGAGATGGACCCACCAAGGGGCATCCGAGGCTCCAGAGGGTGTGTGGTCCGGCGGCAAAGAGCAGAGCCAACCAGGAGAGGCCCTGGAGGTGTCCAAAGCCAGGGTGTGATTGGACGACGTCCTGGGTTACGTCCTGGGTTGGGGCGGGGGTGCCAGGTGTTGAGAGTCACAGAGCAAGAAACATTGAGACAGAGACAGAGACAAAGAGAAGCAAAGAGAAAGAAACGCCCAGAGAAAGACCAATGAGATCAAAGATACTTTGCAAGATGTTTGCAGAAGACAGGGTGGGAGTGGCAGGCAGGTGTCCGGACCCCTGAGATGGACCCCCGAGGTCTGGGCCCAGTGCTGGGCTTTGCCTAACTTCTGCGGGCCTTGTTTTCACTGCCTGTGAAATGAGACCATCCTCGCTGTTGATGGAGTCCGGGGCTGGCAAAGTGCGGTCAGGGCGTGGTGGGGAGAGGACGATGGGGACAGGACCCAGCACTGGGATGAGGAGCAGTGGGCTCTGCCACTGACTCGCTTTGTGGTCTTGGATGGGGCGCTGCCTGGTCTTTGCCTCTGTTTTCCCCAAAGAGCATGGTCCGAGAGTGCCTTGAGATGGACCCACCAAGGGGCATCCGAGGCTCCAGAGGGTGTGTGGTCCGGCGGCAAAGAGCAGAGCCAACCAGGAGAGGCCCTGGAGGTGTCCAAAGCCAGGGTGTGATTGGACGACGTCCTGGGTTGGGGCGGGGGTGCCAGGTGTTGAGAGTCACAGAGCAAGAAACATTGAGACAGAGACAGAGACAAAGAGAAGCAAAGAGAAAGAAACGCCCAGAGGAAGACCAATGAGATCAAAGATACTTTGAAAGTTGTTTGCAGAAGATGGGGTGGGGGTGGCAGGCAGGTGTCCGGACCCCTGGGATGGACCCCTGAGGTCTGGGCCCAGGGCTGGGCTTTGCCTAACTTCTGTGGGCCTTGTTTTCACTGCCTGTGAAATGAGACCATCCTGGGCTGCTCTGATGCTGTTGGACCCTGTGTCCCCCAGCCCCAGCGTCTCCCACTCATGGTCCCTGTCTCTCTGCCTCCCTTCACTCCCGACTTCCCGTGCAGAGCTCTTGGGAACAGCTCTGGGGAGCACGCTTCTGCCCCAGGCAGGAGCTAATTAAAGCTGCATCCCTGATGCTTACCACAGTGGCTGCTCCCACCAGCTGGGCTGGGTGATGGGGAGGAGTGTCCGCCCCAAGCCTGAGAGGTCTCTTGGAACTCTGGGGAGGAGGGCACCAGGCAGAGCTGGAGACAGGCGCCAGCATTTTAAAAACATTTGTAAATGTAAAATGGTACAGCCGCCGTGGAGAACAGTTTGGCAGGTCCTCAAAAAAGTTAAACGTAGAATTACCATATGATCCAGCAATTCCACTCCTGGGTAGATACCCAAAAGAACTGAAAGCAGGGACTCAAAAGAGATATTTGTACACCCATGCTCACAGCAGCATTGTTCACAATAGCCAAAAGGTAGAGAAACACCCAAATATCCATCAACAGATGAGTGGATAGATTGTGGTATATCTATATAATGGAATATTATTCAGCCCTGAAAGAGAATGAAGTACGGCTACAACATGGATGAAATTTGAAAACATTATGCTAATAAGCACTGCCTTTATAATTATTCAAAGTATGTGTACACACTTTTGGGACACCCTATATGTACAACGAAATATTATTCAACCTTACAAAAGGAAGACATTCTGAGCCATAATACAACATGATGAACCCAGGGACCTTTTGCTCAGTGACATAAGCCAGACACAAAAGGGCAAATAGCGTATGATTTCATTTTATGAGGAGTCACATCGCCTTACAAAAGGAAGACATTCTGAGCCGTGCTACAACACGATGAACCCGGGACCTTATGCTCAGTGACAAGCCAGACACAAAAGGACAAATAGCGTATGATTTCATTTTATGAGGAGTCACATCCATAGAGACAGGAAGTAGATGGTGCGTGCCAGGGGCTGTGGGTGAGGATGAAGAGTTAGTGTTTAATGGGGATGAAGAGTTGGTATTAAATGCAGTTTTGCTGGGGATGGGGGACACAGGGTCCAAGAGTTTCAGTTTTGCAACATGAAAAGGGTTCTGGAGGTGGGTGGTGGTGATGGTTGCACAACCACGTGAATGTGGGTAATGCCACTGAGATGTACACTGTAAAATGGTAAATTTTACCACAATAAAAAATTGTAATTGGTATATATTACAAACCTCCTCCCCCACAAAGGGCAGCATCTGTAAGTGTACAATTAAATAATTATAAAGCCATGTGATCATCTCACAGATCCAGAAATAGAACATGGAAGCCACCGGAAGCCCCATGTTCTGTCCACCCTACGACAATCTTTCATCCCCAAGAAGTGGCCACGACCCTGGCCCTTGTGGTAACCAGATCATGCTTTCATTATGGTTTCCCACGCCTCATGCGTCGCTCATCATTGTAGCTGAGTGCTCCCCATGTTGAGCTTACGTAAATGAAATCACAGTGTATGTCCACTTTTGTGTCCGGTTTCTTCCACTCAACGGTGGATGCTGTGTGTCTTGGGGATTAATTCCTTTCTATTTCTGTGCAATATTTGATCCTATGAATATACTACAAGTGGTTACCCATTGTCCTGTGGATGGGTGGCATTTAGGCTGTTCCCTGTTTGGGCCCCATGTTGAACTTACGTAAATGAAATCACAGTGTATGTCCACTTTTGTGTCCGGTTTCTTCCACTCAACTGTGGATGCTGTGTGTCTTGGGGATTAATTCCTTTCTATTTCTGTGCAATATTTGATCCTATGAATATACTACAAGTGGTTACCCATTGTCCTGTGGATGGGTGGCATTTAGGCTGTTCCCTGTTTGGGGCTATCATGAATAAAGCTGCCATGGAACATTCTCACATATATATTTTGATGCACAAAGGCATATCCAGGAATGGGATTGCTGGTTGTGAGGTTGGTATATGTTTAGCTTCAATCGATTATTTCAAAGTTTTCTGACGTGGTTGCACCCCCGTATACTCCCACCAATGGGGTCTGAGGATCTTATTAGTGCTTCTTTCTCACCAACTCGGTTTTGCCAGCCTTTTAAATGTTAGTGGTGGGTGTGCCATTACATTTCATTGAGATTTTAATGTACATTCCTGAATTATTGAAGCTAGGCAACTTGTTTCTTTTTAGAAGTTCTTTATATATATTGTGTGTTTATCTGTTTTTGTTTCTGTGTGATGCAAACATCTCCCAATCCATGATCTATCTTTCTATTATTTTTTTCTGTGTGTGTGTTTCTATTTTCTGAATTTAATCCCCAAAGGTCTTCAGGGAGATGAGAGGTGGTAAAATACCTAGCTCTGCCCTGGCTGGTGTTGCTAAGTTGTCAGAGCGTTGGCCTGCACACTGAGGGGTCATGGGTTCAATTCCTGGTTAAGAGCACGTACCTGGGTTGCAGGTTCGATCCCCAGCCATCATCAGGGCGTGTGTGAGAGGCAACCAACCGATATGTCTCTCTCACATCAATGTTTCTCTTTCTCTCTCTCTCTCTCCCTTTCCTTCCTTCCCTTCCATCCTCTCTAAAAAGCAATGGGGGAAAATATCCTCAGTTGGGGATTAACAACAAAAAAGAATAACTAGCCCTAAAACCTGAGAGAAATTAGGCATGGCTGGCAAGAAATCAGGCTGCAGGCGATGCAAAATAGGGGCAGAACCCTTCCTCCTTGGGTCCTTTCTCGCCTGTGGAGCCCCACCTGCAGAACATGGAAGGGTAGGGAGGGACCCAGAGCAACCTTCCATACCATTGGCCTCTGTGTCTGTGAATTTTGCTGCACGAGGAAGAAATAACCCAATCGCGGGTCGCTGTCCCTGGTGCTGAAATGATTCCCAGTTCTCTTTGCCCGATCTCTTCTGGGACTCTCAGTTTTTCTTCTCTAGTTGGTGAAAATGTGTGATGTTTACCCGTTTCTAGATATATAGAGCCTTGGCATTCAGTTCCTGGAAGGGTTGAATCGTCTCCCTAGCCCTCATCGTGGTCCAGCCCCATGGACCAGGAGGTCACAGTTTGATTCTAAGTCGGGCACATGACCAGGTTGTGGGCTCAAT